ACTTTTATCCGATTCGGTTCACATAAATTTGGGCATTCATTTCCAGAATTATTTTCTGTATCAAAAGTAAGAGCTCTAGCAGCCGATTGATGAAGCTCTTCCTTTTGTTTTTTCGTTAAACGGTGAATATATGACCGCGACATTCTCCTCATTTTAAATGATATTAGTTTTGTTTATTTTGTAAAATATTTTTTTTTCAATTAAATTATTAAATTTTTTATTTATGTAATGTCTAATTATTTAAATTTATGTTTATTTATTAGGTCCACCCTAAAAAACACAACTTGTATGTAGATGTTAGTTCACGCTAGGTAGAAGTAAAAGGAAGAGAGAAAAAAGAGAGCACACAAATAAGCAAAACGAGTTCACAAAAAGAAAAATTTAAATTTATGAAATATATATAAATTACCTTTTGTCTTGAAATAGTTTTTCTGGTATTAAACGAAAATAATATTTAAAACGCATTAATTAAATTAAAACTCAAGTCTTATTGCAGTGTACGATCAATAAATAATTAGTTTAACAGCCACACACAGTTTTAGGAACAATTTGTTTACATTTGTTTTGACCGTACACTGTTTTTAAGACTGTTAATAAGAGTTTATAAATTAAATATTTTTTGGCACAGGTACACATCACTTATTATTTTAATTAATCCAGTGTTTGGTTCATTTTGTTTAATTAACAGTATTGGAACTCCTATTTAGTTTGTTTATATCAACACTCAACAAACTAAGTAAGAGTTCCAATGCTGTTAATTAAACTATACTTACTTGAAAATTAGAACCGCAAAGAATATATTAATTTCACAAATCACAGAGGCATAAGCTATTTCAATTGAAAATCAAAATGCAAGTGGCGAGTAAAGCAAAAGAAACTTTAGAATGCATAAACAATGCTTCTTTATAGCTTCTTACATTCTTTTTCGCTTGCAAAGCATGCATGAAAGAAGCTTTTTTTATTGGAATGCGTTCCCAGTCGGAAGTTAGTTGTTTATGCATTCTAAAGAGTTTTTGTGCATTCTAAAGAGTTTTTGTGAAATCGTCCCTTCAACTTTAATGCATAAAAAAGCCTTATTTTGCAATGTAAACAAAAGGCTGAAACCCGAACGCTGCCGATAGTCCGATATTTTTTAGATCGTGTTTTTCACCGAAAACCTCGCTTACGAAAGAACGCAAAAAGAAGTCTTGTTTCGGAATGGACAAAAAATGGGAAACCAATTTAATCTATTTTTCTTAATGAACAGCAGCGGCGTAAATATATTCACTTTTTATCTTTAAAGTCAATATCAGAACGCTTTGTTATGTTTCTTAAATTAATTGTGTAAAAAATATTAATATTTAATTTTATTAATAATAATATTTATTGTATATTGTATTAGAAATTTATTAATTTGAATCAGTTTTTTATATATTTTAATTTTAGGTATTAATATATAAACGATTACATGATTTCTTTTCAAAGCGTGATTTTGTTTTGAATTATTATTTTACATTTGCCGGCGCTATAGTTTCCTCCGCCACTGTATTCACAAACCGAACAAAACGGAACTCTAAAAAGCAAACGACAAGAACAAAAGAGAACATGCAAGAAAGCGCGAGGTCTTTTTCGTTTCTTTTGCATTTCTCGCCACTTGTCTTTTGATTTTCAATTGAAACAGCTGGTGCCTCTGTGATTTGTGAAATTAATATATTCTTTGCGGTTCTAATTTTCAAGTAAGTATAGTTTAATTAACAGTATTGGAACTCTTACTTAGTTTGTTGAGTGTTGATATAAACAAACTAAATAGGAGTTCCAATACTGTTAATTAAACAAAATGAACCAAACACTGGATTAATTAAAACAATAAGTGATATGTACCTGTGCCAAAAAAATATTAAATTTATAAACACTTATTAACAGTCTTAAAAACAGTGTACGGTCAAAACAAATGTAAACAAATTGTTCTTAAAACTGTGTGTGGCTGTTAAATTAATTATTTATTGATCGTACACTGCAATAAGACTTGAGTTTTAATTTAATTAATGCGTTTTAAATATTATTTTCGTTTAATACCAGAAAACTATTTCAAGACAAAAAGGTAATTATATATATTTCATAAATTTAAATTTTTCTTTTTGTGAACTCGTTTTGCTTATTTGTGTGCTCTCTTTTCTCTCTCTCTTTTTTACTTCTACCTAGTGAACTAACATCTACATACAAGTTGTGTTTTTTAGGGTGGACCTAATAAATAAACATAAATTTAAATAATTAGACATTACATAAATAAAAAATTTAATAATTTAATTGAAAAAATATTTTACAAAATAAAACAAAACTAATATCATTTAAAATGAGGAGAATGTCGCGGTCATATATTCACCGTTTAACGAAAAAACAAAAGGAAGAGCTTCATCAATCGGCTGCTAGAGCTCTTACTTTTTGATACAGAAAATAATTCTGGAAATGAATGCCCAAATTTATGTGAACTCGAATCGGATAAAAGTG